CTACACAGCACTGCCTTCATGCCAATGACGCACCTCTGCCCCTCTCTGCCTGAAGACCTACTCTGGCTGCAGGAGGATTCTGTACCCATAGGTGGGACAGGTGAGATGCTGGGAAGCTCTTGCCTCAGGAGCAGCCCTCAACAAAAGACAGACAGGAGTTGGAGATGAAGAACTAGCTTCCTATCCCCTTGAACAGACCAAGGCATGTGTGACTCAGCCTCCCAGAGCTCCCCAGTGGCATGGAGTCCCCACTGCCACAGGTGTATTCTGCTCACCAAGCACTTTGTGTTCTTCCTTTTCTTTCCTCTTCTCGCATCCCCACTGGTACTTCTTGTGATCACCTTCCAAAAGACGACTTGTACTCAAATCCTATTTCAGGCTTTGCTTCTAGGGGGAGCCAAAATAAAAATAGATTCCTTGCCTGTAAAGGAGGAATCCGGCCCAGAAGGGGCTTTAGCCATCATCTGTGACAACCCCAGTAATGCATGGAAAGCATGAGTGGGGCCCCCAAAGGAAAAGCTGCTGTCTCACTAGCTGTGACTTTCCTGCTTTGTCCCACATCTTGGGAAAGCAGCTACTGAGCCCCGCTGGCCCTGCTCTCAGCCAGGAACAAGGCCTAGCAGGTAAAGTGCAGGGTAGGGGAGAGCACAAAATGGGGGCCTCAGTGTAGGCATGTTCCTAGGCTGTGAATCCCCTGTTAACCCCTGCCCATAGCTCTAATGGCCCGTTGGGTAGAGGGCCCTGTGAAGGGACCTGCAGAGAAGAATGGGCAGAAGTGGGGCCTAAAGGCCACCGCCCCTCACTAAGATCCTCATCCTGGATGCCACCTGCCTGCCCAGGTCCCACTCCTCTAGTTTGCATCATACACATGCCCTCTGCTGTCCTGCCCTGAGCCCTCACACACGCCATGCCTTCTAGCTAGAATGTGCTTCCCTCCCTCCACTGGGGCCAACTCTTCCCCTACAACATTTTATTGTCTCTTTGTCCTCGGATGGTCATAGAGATGGCAGAGCTCAAGAGAAGCTCTTACAGAGCAGTGAGAAGGCTGGTGGCAGGGGCCGGGGGTGGGAAACCAGAGGGGTTGGGCAGAGGGGGGTCCTGAGCTTAACCTGCAGGAAGCTTGATGTGGAGACCAAGGGCCAGGGATATGGGACCCCAAAACAGAGCCTCAGCGGGTTAGTTCTGCTGCATTGCATAGCTTCAGGGGCCTTCATTCACGGCTGGAGGCATGCAATGAAGTGGCCCTGTGACAAGTCCCATCTTGGGACAATTTTGTACAAGGCCAATGGTTTTAAAAGCTTTTCTAGCTGCGGAACCCAAACAAAATCCTACCTAGAAGTCCACCTTGTAAATAACTGCCCCGGTCAAAGTGAAGAGCAGATGGGGTGGACTTACCAGGCCTTTCAACAAACGCTTATCCTTGAGGCAAACCTTTCCGAGAGGCCCCTGGGACTCCACAGACCCATTTAGAAAACACTGGCCAAGTAAGGAGAGCTGGACCGTGTCTGAGGACCCAAGGTCTACTTCTACAGTGCTACTTCCAGGCTATGTGGCTCTGGGCAAGTCACTTCACCTCTCTGGTCCTCAGTTTCCTCATCCCCACAATGGAGAAGATACATCTCCCTCACAGGGCTACTGAGAGGCTCTAAGGTGATAACCAGGATAGCTTTGCACTTATTATGGTCATACATGTAATTTATTGCCAGGAGGCCCAGAAGGACATGAGAAACTTTGCATCATCTTAGAGGCACTACACCCTGGGCTACAGAACAGACACGTGGCTGGGAGACTTCACAGTTGCCTATCTTCCTGGGGTTTCAGGCCCCAAGTGCTCAGGAGGCACCTCTTTGCCCCAGACCTCATTACCCAGCCAGCTGGGGCCCTCACACAGTCACTGTTTCTCTTCCCTGGGTGTGAAGCTGGGACACGTGAGCTCAGAAAATTTTTCCCCTCACTGCTCTACCAGCCAAACCCCAGTCCCAGCCCGGGACCTGAACCCCTAAAGGGAGATGAAGGCAGAGTGTTCTGGCTCCAGGAATCAGCTAATGGAACCTTGTTAATTACTATGTAAATTACTTTAATAGCCTGGATCCCCCTCAGACAATTGGTTAAGGGCTTGAGGCCCTAAACTGGGGAGATGGGGTCTCCAGTGAGGGGAAAGAACAGCCTTTCCTTGGCCCAAGGGCTCCCACATATGGTTTCCCATGGGGCAGGAGTAGATGCACAGATGGGGAGCTGAAGGAAGGGCTGGCTTTCACATCTGACCTTGGCCCATGAGGATCCTGAAGTGACGCTGAAATACAAGAATCAAGTCCATCCTTGAAGGTTGAACTCAAAAGGACCTCAGATGATCTCTAGTTTACCCCCACCCCCTCACCGCATCCAGAGAGAAACAGAAGCCCAGAAAGGGTGTGTGACTTGTCCAAAGTCACACAGCAAGGTGATGGCCAGGCAAGGGCTGGAATGCCAGTCTCCCATATCTAGCCCAGGGGTTCTCAAACTGGCACCTCCAGGATGAGCTGGACCTGAGTGTCCTGGCTGAAACATCATATAGTGAGACTTTCTGAATTTACAGAGAAAAAATTAAGTTCAATTTTAACTTCTACACCTACACTATTAAAGATACACTATCCTACAGACATGATATGTAGTTATATTTGCTTCCAGAAATGCGCTCTTGTACTATGGAATTAAATATGTCAGAATGTCATAGCATTCCATGACAGACACCTAGACTTCAAGATTTTCTGACCTATAGGAGACTCTCAGTCCTGAAGCACTTATTTTTATCTCAATTTTCCAGATAAGAGACACAGACTTGCCTTGGAACTTCCCCTTGGATTGGAGCCCTTTCGGCAGGCCAGTTATTAGGAGTACGTGTAAACTAAGAGCGAATGCATTCTGAAAGTGGACAGCACTAGGAAGGGGGTGGGGAAGAGTGAAGATAATAATAGCACGGGGCTGTTGCCAGGATGATGAGCTTGTGAGGCACGTGAGTTGTATTTGACAAGTATCCTGACCTCTCTTGACTGCTCAGGAGCGCACTGCTCTCTCCTTATGTAACGTGGAGGCTCTGTGGCCACTTCCTACCTGTGTGACCTTGGACATGTGGCATCACCTCTCTGAGTCTTCATTTCATCATTTGAAAATGAGAACAAGAAGACTTGCCTTACAGGATAGCTGAAACAATGAAATGAGATGGTGCTAGGCACCTGGCACAGTGCCTGGCATGAAGTAATCCCTCGCCTTCTCCCTCTTTGCCTCTGTCTCTCTGTCTAAGATGTAGATATAAATGTTTTTAAATCAGGGTCAGGTACACAGACCTGGGGTGTGTCACTGGGTAAATGTGGCAGGCCATCAAGCTCCCCCTGGAGCCCAGTGCCTTCCTTGTACCCCCAGTGCAATATATCTGATCAGAGGCTCTCAGTGCCCAGAAAGTCTCCCCCAGAGCTTCCCCTTCACTGCTCTGCAGTCCCAGTTCTGCCCTTTGCTCGGGCACTGGCTTCTTCCTCCTCATCTGAGCACTTCCCACAGGATGTCTATGGAGCTAGTCTGTATGCTGCATGTCCTTACCATCAATAATGAGAAATGATAAAATCAAACACTGATGGAGCACTTACTATGTACCAGGCCCCATCCTAAGTACTGTGCGTGGATGATCTCATTCAACCCTCTCAACAGACATCTGAGGAAGATTCTATGATTCTCCCCCATTTTACAGATGAGAAAACTGAGGCTTGGGAAGCTTAAATAACTTGCTTGGGAAGCTTAAATAACTTACAGATGAGAAAACTGAGGCTTGGGAAGCTTAAATAACTTAAATAAGTTGCAGAGTGGGATCCAAACTGGCTGCCTGATTCCCAAGCCCTGGGTGTGGCATTTGGCATGCCTGTGTGTGTCATACACTACACATCTATCTGACCATGTTGACATACATGCTCATGGGTGTGCCTGCGGGGGTGCTATGCACACGTGCCTGTGTGCGGGCCAGTGCACTGTCTGCAGCAGGAGACTGAGAAGGGAGACACCATCACACTTCTGTGTCTGGCTTGTTCATCTCCCACACAGTGCTGGTGAAACTTGACCCAACCATGCTCTTTGGTGACCATCTTTCTTAATGAAAAATTTAGTGAACAGTGAAATGTTCGTTGAGCACTTTGGAGGCCTGCACGCTTGCCAGTTTTGGCAGATGAAGCCCCAGGGAGAGGAGAAGCACCCATGGCGCTTGTGTTCCTGCCTAGGTCAGCGGGCTCTCGGGGTAAACCATGACCAAACACGGGGAGGAATATGTGGCCTCAAAAGACCCTGGAGACCTGGGCAGCTGCTTTCCCTCAGCCTTTGCCACCCACCAGGCAGGATCCCCTCAGCCTTATTTCTAGCCCCCTCCTCCATGCCGCTTCCAGAGCTGCCTTCTGAGCATCCACCCCATCCTGATCATGTCCCGCTCCACAACCGTCCATGCTCCTTTCTACCCTAAATACAAACTGCACTCAGCTTTCCTACACCATCTAGGGCCGGCCTGCCTTTGCAGGCAACCCTTTGAGGTAGGCGCCAGCGCTAGCACTAGATTGAGGGGAGAGATGCCTAGAGCACAAAATTCAAGGAGGCCCTTACTCTCGGGGTCCGTCCCACCCCACTTTCCTTTGGTATCCTCTGCCAGCCCTTGGCACAGGAATGGGCAAATCCACAGACTCCTCCGAAAGGAACTAAAAGCGCTGCAGGAAATTCCACTGAGATTCGACAAACACTCTGACACCAGCTCCATGCGGGGCTTCCGTGTACATCCTGTCACCTGTCCTCATAGCACCCCGTTTGGAAAGCAATACCTCACCATCCTGAGAGTCCAACGTGCTCGAGTCACAGAACCAGCAAGTAGCAGAACAACAGTAACAACTCCCACGGATTGGGAAGCTACTTCAGGCAAATAGCTAAAGGGCTTCCAGCTATTACCTGGTTAACCCTCGAGACAACGCAGGGAGGTTGGTACTACAGTTGGTCCTCATTGTTCTCGGATTCCAAATTTGCCTACTTAACGGAATATATTTTAACCCCCAATCAATACTCACTGTGCCTTCAGGGTCATTCACGGACATGTATAGAATGGCAAAAATTTGAATCATCCTACGCGCGCATTCCCAGCTGAAGTCCGAGGCGGCAGACGCTCTGCTCTCCCTTTTCAGCTCACACTGTAAACAAGCGTCCTTTTCGTGGTCTATTTAGTGCCAGGCTTCACATTTTTGTGCTTTTTTGTTGGTGATTCGGGTATTATAAATGGCCACAAGCATAGTACTGAAGTGCTTTCTAGTATTCCTAATTGCAAAAGGCTGTGATACCTTACAGAGAGAACAGGGGTGTTTGTTTTGTTAATGAATCAATGATATGTATTAAATAAGATATCTAAACAGAAACACATAAAACAAGCTTTAAGTATTGATCAGTGGACAAATAGGTCGTCAGAGGCTCATAGAAACCTAACCTTGTATTTTCCCTAAGAATAATGGCTCAGTATTTGCTAACTCAGTGTTTCCTACTAATTTACAGAACGTGACTACTGCAAATAATGAGAATCAGCTGTATTTTCCTCCGCTGCCCTTGAAGAAACTATGGCTCAGAGAGGTGAAACCACCCACCTGGGTTTGAAACCACCCACCTGGGTCAGAAACAAGCCCTCTGCTTTTTTGTGAGCTGTGGGGTAAATGCTGGTGGCCTGGGACATAAGTGTGGGGGGCGGACGCAGACTTAGTATTAAATAGCATTATCTAAAGTTCTTTTACATATTCTTCAATTCTTATGCTTGGATACAAGTGAAAGCTTGGGCTTGGTACTAGTCAGTTCTTAGCGCCTCTTAAAACTCCTCCTACTGATTCCCTTGTTTCACATAGAAAGAGCAGCCCTGGGGTCAGAGCCTCCAGCAAGTAGTGTCTAGCTGAAACTCAATAACAATTATTTTTATACTTTTCTTCAAATAGAATACCTGTCATCAATAATGGCTCCTAATAATGGTTTTTAACTTTCAACAAAGTGATAGAAAGTTTCTTTTCAAATAGATATAGTTAAGGAAAGGTGTAAATATTTAAAGAAAAATGTTAAGTAAATAATTGTAAGAAAAATCCAAAGATGGCATTTAGTGAGATGTGGATGAGGCAAAAATCAGGAAGGTGACATGTGAGTTACTGATGTTTGGGTGTGCTAACAACTTTCTGTTTCTTGATCAGCAAAGATGTATTAAAACTTTTAATGGCTTAAAAACCATAGTGGCTTACAACAACAACTTTATTATTTTACAGTTCTGGAGGTTAGCAGTCCGGAATGGCTGTGCCCTGGAGACTCCAGAGGAGACTCTGTTCCCTTGCCTTTTCGAGCTTCTAGAGGCTGCCTGCACTCCTTGGCTTGGGGCCTCTTCAGCCATCTTCAGTGCCAACATCAA